CTCCCCTTTTCCACCCCCCCTTTTTTTTCCACTCCCCAGCCCTTATGCACCTACGAACACCGAGCGATCAGCGGCACTGGGAAAGTGTGCGACTTTTTGTGCAATGTTGCATTTGGCCTAAATTTCTACCAGGATTTGTTTCCCTTATCCTATTTTTCTACCATGGAGCTAAGCTTCAACTTCTGTAAGTGATTGGGTGTGGAAAAAAATGCTGAGAAAATTTGGTTTGTTTCATTCTGTTTCAGTGTCAACAGATGACTGTCCTAGGAGACAAAAAAAGAGATCAGGGACCTCAGTTCTCAACAGAACGGGATGCCTGTCTAAAATTGTTTGAGAAATGGAATGAACAAGATCAAGTGGAGTTTGTGGAACATCTATTGTCTCGCATGTGTCACCACCAACACGGACACATCAACACATATCTCAAGCCCATGCTTCAGAGAGATTTTATTTCAATGTTACCAAGTAAGTACTCCCATTTGTTGAACACATTTTAAGTAGATTTGTTTTACTTTCCTTCTTCATCATGTAATCTGTATTTTTCAGAAAAAGGACTTGACCATGTTGCTGAGACAATTCTCTCCATGTTGGACGCTGAATCGCTCAATTGGGCTCAAATGGTGTGCAAAGAATGGTACAGAGTTATTTCAGAAGGCATGCTATGGAAAAAACTAATTGAAAGGAAGGTTAAAACTGATCCTTTGTGGAGAGGTCTTTCAGAACGTAGAGGATGGTAAGCTGTGATTTGCTATCTAAAATAACTTGTTCTTTGAGGAGTTTCTCATTTTCTATCTATCTTCTAGGATCCAATACTTGTTCAAACCAAAGCCTGGTGAGAACCACCCAAGTAATGATTTTTACAGATCTCTCTACCCTAAAATAATCTTGGATATTGATGTGAGTCACACAATGAAAACTTCCGTAAATAGTTGTTGGCATACTACAATTGCTTATAGTGTAATTTATGTATGAATTATATTTTTATAGAGGCTTGAAAAGAATTGGAGAATGGGAAGACATGTGCTTCAAAGAATCAATTGTCGCTCAGAAAACTCAAAAGGAGTATACTGTTTGCAATATGATGACCATAAAATTGTATCTGGACTAAGAGACAATACAATAAAAATATGGGACCGTTCAACTTTGCAGTGTATTAAGGTTAGACTAGATCAAAAAGTTCAATTTTACATTAGTACGTGTAGTTTTTGATTTATAATCTTCTTTATTATTTTTTATAGGTTCTGACGGGCCACACTGGTTCAGTGCTTTGCCTACAGTATGATGATAAGGTGATAATCAGTGGCTCAAGTGATTCAACGGTACGTGTGTGGGATGTGGCCACCGGTGAAATGGTGAACACACTCATTCATCACTGTGAAGCTGTACTTCACCTACGATTCTGTAATGGGATGATGGTGACATGCTCAAAGGTAGGTTAAAGATGGTTAATATGACTCTTTTAAATTTGTCGTCAATGCACTTTCGTTATATTTTTTGTTTCTAATAGGATCGCTCCATAGCTGTTTGGGATATGACATCACCCACAGAAATCACATTAAGAAGAGTTCTTGTGGGGCACAGGGCAGCAGTTAATGTTGTTGACTTTGATGAAAAATATATTGTCTCTGCCAGTGGAGACCGCACAATCAAAGTTTGGAACACATCATCATGTGAATTTGTTCGAACTCTAAATGGACATAAAAGGGGCATCGCTTGCCTTCAGTATCGTGATCGACTGGTAGTCAGTGGCAGTTCGGATAATACCATTAGGTAAGAATACATTTGATTTTTGTTAATCATAGCTGATATTGTCCTTTCTATTTTTCATATTGTTGGTAAATTGGAATTTCCAGATTATGGGATATTGAATGTGGAGCTTGCCTCAGAGTGTTAGAAGGTCATGAGGAACTTGTGCGGTGCATTCGCTTTGATAGTAAAAGGATAGTTAGTGGAGCTTATGATGGGTAAGTTCCACTAATCATGGTTTCTGACTAAGAAATTCAATTGAAATGGAATTATGTAATCAATCTTTGCTTGATTGTAGGAAAATAAAGGTTTGGGATCTGGTTGCTGCTCTGGACCCGCGGTCTCCGTCAGGCACACTCTGTTTGAGAACATTAGTGGTAAATTTGTTTCTCATTTCTTAGACAAATCTTTTCCTCATTAATGTTAATTAATATTGTGATTTTTACGTTTAGGAACACACTGGACGTGTTTTCCGACTACAGTTTGATGAATTTCAAATTGTGAGTAGTTCTCATGACGACACAATTCTCATCTGGGACTTCCTTAACTGCGACCCACTTGAGGGCAGTACAGCTGAGGCCCCTCCTCCTTGTCAACCGGTAGAGAACAGAACACCTTCTCGTAAGTTTCATAGAACGTCTTAATTTGTTACCTTAAATCTGTCCAGGCATGCTTCTTACAATTTTTATTGTTATAGCTTCATTTGGTTGAACAACCGCCCTTTGCCCATGGTCTTCATTTACATACCTGCCAAAAGTAGCACTTACCACTCCAAATAAGTGCTATACTGTCCCTGTACTAAACAGGAACATCTGAAGTGTCTTCTTTTCTAAACTGTAAAAGTGTTTGATAACTACTGTGATGGTGCTCAACAAAGATTCTGCAAGGCTGCATAATAAAATCGAGGAGCTTTGTTCTTTTAATGTATGAAATGTTATCATTTATAATTTTAATATTTTTAGTTATATTAAGCCATCTATAATTGTACAGATTTTAAATTACTGTCATTTTAGACGTATTTATTTCTCTTATGCAGCCTCCTAATGTCATGCTGTGATGCCTTCGGTATTGGATGAACCAAACCGTGTCAGTTTCAGAGTATTTTGGGCATCTCTATGACGTTACTTTACATTTACCTTTGTCACTAATTACTGTACTTTTGATAGTAGACCATCTACCATTACATAAAAATCATGAAATAGATTGTCTTATATCAAAATTTGAAGTTTGTAGATGCCTGAAGTATTAGATCCCAGAATTTGAGCATACTCTGATGTTCCATAGAGCTCCTTTGAGAAGTGTGTACTTAATTGGTCAGGGGAAATATTGGGGAAGTTGTTCTGTGTCAACTTCTCCGTTATCAGGTTTTATTTGAGGGTGGTTGGTATGTGATTCCAGTGTTAAAGTTTAGAACTGGTTGGTTTGTCAAAGTTTTTGTCTGGTCACTCCTCGCACACTCTGGCAAAGACATACTAAACAACTTGTTATTGTAAATTTTATTAGCGTAGATTCTTGCCTTTGAAATCATATTGGCTTGTTCTCTCTCAACTTGGATCTCATTATGTCATGTCAGAACTGTTGCTCTCAATGTAATAAGGATTTATCTCTTTCAAGGAATTTTGAGGTGTTTGGGCTTTTGAATCAGAAAAGAGAAACTCCTGATTTCTGTGTGATTAAATGGTTATGACACAATTGTCTCTTGGTTGGAGATTCACAATTATAAATTTTTTGTAGAACTGTTCAAGTGTTTAATATATTATTTGACTTGTATTTGTTTTGTTAATTGTTTGTCTTCAATGTAAAATATTGTGTGTAAGTGTGTGAATGAGTTGTACATATCAGTGAGTGAGTTTTTGTGTGATGTGGCCTTGGATCTAAAGGTGTGAGAGCGACAGGACATTAACTTCTGATGGGCTTCTGCCTAATGTCTGTGATTAAGTGATATTCACTATTATTGTGCATTCTTAGAAATCCTCCTTATTCTTAGTGTGTATGAAATTGTAGAATATGTGAGGCCAAGAGAAAGTAAAATGAGTTTACATTAAATAAAAAAAGATAATTGTTTCTTGTGCTAACTGAAAATCATGGACTATCCTGTTTCCTAGGAAATCTGTTGAACCTCAATCATGCTAGGTTCAGACCATCTAACGGTAACTAACAAGCACCTTTGTGCTTTCAAGTCCACCTCAATCTCCTTCCCTTGATGCAATTTTTGGATTGAGCTTTGTGTACTCTGACTCTAAGTGGCACAAATGTTTAACTGACATTTTGACTTACAGCTAGTTTCATTTTTATTTTTTTTGTTAAATCCTGTCTGCCCCATGTTGTTTCTCATGTAAGATTATCTTCTCAGTTCATATAATATACCGCACTTTTATTACTGAACATTCCCTGTTTCAAGTGCAGGTAACTAATTTTTACACTAGTTGTGAGCATTAGAGGAATTTCTCTTAACAGTAGTACAGGTATGGAAAAGAGTTACAGAATCTGCTTATGAGTTTGTTTTGTTGACTGCCTCTCACTTGGCGGAGACTTAGTAATGGACTAGAGTTGTGGGGATTCAGATAGGGGGTGGTTTCTTTTCTGTTTTGTGTTTTGGTGATATTCTAACTTTTAAGTCAAATGACCAAATTGAATTCCTCTAAAAGAAAGAAATGGACTAACTATTAAAAAAAAAGTATACATTGTTTGTCTGGTACAAAAATGATGTTAGTTTCAGAAAGTTAATTTATGAAGATGGACTGGTATGGGCTGGAATGCTACTGCAACTTGGGAGTTTTATGTAGTAGAATTAAATCCCTCTGGGTTTACTTCTATGCTATGAAGTGAAGTAATATTTTCCCCATTTCATGTTAACTTCATAGTCAATACCCTTGACAATTGTACATGTTTTTTTTTTTGTTTTTTGTTTTTTTGTATACATCCTAGAGATCGGGTAAGCTATAAGTTGTACTATTTTGGAGGTATTGATACTGATCAGTAATTCTCAAATTACAGTTTTTCTGTACATTTTCTTTGTTCATTGCTGTTAAACATCTGTCCTCCTTTCCTTAATGATAGATAACTAGAGAAATCCACGTACAGTGTACACTCCATTTTGCAGTAGTCCTTGAAAACACTTGTTTTTCATCAGTCAGACATGTTCTCCAGAGTAGTCTTAAAATATTTGGAAAATGTCTTTTATACTCACGTATAAATTTCATTCATGGTTGTCAATGCTTATGAACTGATTTATTCTCATGCTCATAACTTGCAATTCCAGTGTGGAATAGACTGAGCTCGGGGCGCTACAAATGTACAATATGCACACTGTTACACTGCATAGAATTTTGTGAAGTCTTTGTGTGTTGAATGTTTCATTCAAAACATAAATCTTTGATGAAAACTAAATTATTTCTTATTATTTGCTGTTATTTAGATATACTGCTGAGGTACTATGAGTAGACATTTTCACTCTAAAATTACAGTATTTACTGTGTAGTGGGGCCTGTTATTGCTTTGCGATCTGTTAAAGCTAAAACACAAGTTATTAAGGCTAGAATCTAATATTTTTAATTGGTAGAGGCAGACTTCAAGGAGTAAATATGCGTCAGCCAGTTGGTTTCGTGTTCCCAGAAAATTAGTTTTCTTTGTGGACTCTGTATCTTAAAGGAAATGAAAATCAACCACAACTTCCTGGTTTTGATCCCTTTGCCGTGATTTCTCCTGTTCCCAATGAAATTTCTTAACACTTATTCATTCCTTACCTCTTGCAGCAGTTTGAATGTGCTGCTCTTGCTTTTCAATACGCATTGAGATATCTTGATTTTATTTGAATGATTGATTTCATTTATTAGTACAGCATTTACTATTGTTTTGTCTCCCAGGTGGATTTAGAAGGGAATTTTCTGCCAACTAGGCATTCAGCTAGGTACAGGATATGTTACAATAACTGGTATACTTTGGAAACTGTGTGCAATTTCAACTAAGGTAAATACACAACATCACTCCCATCTGGTTTTCATTATTTAACTAGAAACGGACTGAACTGCCTAGGTAAACAAGAACAGTATTCCAAGAAGAAATTTGTGTCTTGATTGTCACCGTGACGTCAAAATGCTCCCTCATTTAGACGTCTTTCTGCACGCAAATCCAACTCCAAGCTGTATTCGGGTTGAACGATGGCCAAGAATAGGAGTTAACCGTGTGTCAGGGCTAAGACATCCTATGCAGCGCTGCAAAGCGCTCAAGCCGCGTCTCAATCCTAAATCCAGACGTTGTCGAACCAGCGCTGGGTCTATGCCGCTGAGGCGCTCCCACTACTCTGACACCCCCCCCCCCTAAATCCAGACGCCTCTTATCATACCAAAAACCGCATTTCCTTACTAGGCCCTAGCTTTTTTTTTTTTTTTTTTTTTTTTTTTTTTTAAACCTAACGAAAGTTTCGAGTGGCTCAACCTCTTCTTGAATTTAACCAAGAAGCGCTTCGCGGGTAGCAGGGCTTCCATTTCTTGCACATTTTATGCGCATTTTGGGCGCATCTGTAACACGAGATGAGAGCACTACAAGACCTTAAGAGCCTAAAGCCCTGCAAAGAGCGTGTTACGCGAAATGCCAACCCCGCTCGCGAACACGTGTAGCTCGTTCGATTGGTTCGATGCAGGGCTCTACTCTCAAGGAGCCTAGCCACGAGGTGCACGGTGAGTTGCCTACCACTCAGGCGGACCGGTCCAGCACGGCGAAAAAGCTGACTCGTCTGTTTCACACAGTAAATGAATGGGGAAATCGAGTGTAAGGGATTGCACTTGCATAAGCTGACAGAGCCTTGCCTTCATTCGACCAATAAAGCCCGAAAACAACAAAAAAAAGAAAAGAAAAAAAATTATCACTGAAAAACTAAAAAATTACCTAGGATCCAGCGAATGCCTTTACAGTATCCATCACTCTCCTACACCCAATAGAAACGGAGGGGATTTGTATCAACAAATTTGAACAAATGTCACTTTGGTCTATCATGTCCCTTTAATCATTTTTGTTACTTCAGCTTACATATCAAGAATAGCTATGACATAAACAATCATTAAGTCTCAAATCTCTTTAAAAATTCAACATTATGCAGTCTTGCACCAGTTGTTACACTACAACTTAGCAAATAGTGATGGTTCAATGATACATACAAAGAAGAACAATTAAAAAATTAATGTGAAGCAGAGAAACCACATTCAACAATTTTGTAGGTGTAAGGAAGGCGGTTGGCACACATAAAAAACGCTTTGTAGAGCAAATCACAAAACAGTTCTTGATAGATGGCTGATTTTAAGAATTAAACCCACACTGCAACACTCCAAATTGATTAAACAAAAGCAGTACTCCTTAAAACATCAGAGATCAAAATGACAAACAGTATAAATTTATTGAGTTAGTTAAGTCTTGTTCTCCAAAGTCAAAATTGAAGCAAACCGAAGCCAAAGCGATATTACATACCTAACTCTGTCTGGTATCTGCTAACTAGCCCAGTATGTATGTGGCTCGTATTTCAGTTTGCTTTAGCTTTGCTCCATGAGGATAAACCAATCATCTAATGTCTTTAAAAGTTACTGGAGAAAAGAAAGATCACCAAACTTAAAGCAAGATATAACGTTGACAGTCATAATCTCTACTAACTCACCATCGATACTGTTGCAGAGTTGCAAGAGATGTAATTAAAACAGGTAGCAATGACAATGAAGACAAATGGAAGGGACATTTCAACTACAGAGCGGTAAAGAAAATGATGTATATGTCTGGGTTGTAGTCTACATCACATGCATTTTAAAAATCACAGTACAGTATGTAAAATGATTCAAGTACTCTGTTAACACAATAAAACATTCAAATAGAACAAAGGAATCAACAGAACCCTGTTACTACAAAACTAGTTCAATGAACCTCCACACACCTTGTAAAAACTTCACTCAACCACAGCCAAGGAGATATTATTTTTCATTTCGCCACAAAAGACAATAAGATATTAAAGTGACCAAATCTTTTTGCATTTTCATTGACTTATGAACTTTTTCGTAGCATGATGAATTGAGCCTATATGTAATGCATTTCATCTGTTCTGTAATAAACTTTTTACACGCATTTGATACAACGACTGATCAAAACAGTATTTTTAAACGAGTCAAAGCCCCATAGTCTGCTTCATTCAATGCTTAAAAAAAATTAGGAGGTTGGGGAAAAAATTAGTCCCACATATTATTTATATGTAATACTGAACAGCAATATTACAATGAATGAACACAAAAATCACTCCCCAACAGCCCTAAGTTCAAATACCACTTGAATAAAAAAACCAAAAACCATTCACCGAAAAGAAAGGTACTTTTAAAATGGTAAAAATTACAACAAAACCAGATGTATGATGGTTTATATACATTCGAATAAATTCATTATTGATAAGGCTTCAACTTAGAAGAAAGAATTATAGCGAGTGAGTCATCAGTCAATAAAAGATGGCAGCTTTAAAACAAACATTTCGTTAACAAAACTCTTTTGACAAGAATTGAAAAAGAAAGAAAGAAAAATATGCAAATATTATGCTATTGCACATACCCTAACACAAGCAAGAAGAGAAAGTTCCAGTAACTGAATGGAGAAAAAAACACAGTATCTGTACTTGGTAACAAGCTTGCATGACACATATTACAGTACAATTTTAAAAATAAAAGCACAAATACATTTCATAAATGTCATTATTTCATTTAAAAACTTAAAGGAAAGAATACAATTTTCAACAAAGATGCAACAAGGACACAATTTATTTTCCCTCGCAATCTAGCACTGTTCTAGAGAGAAAAAATTGAGATAAAGTCAGCAGAAATTTATGACTAAAGTACACAATTTATCTGTGATTAGTTAAAGTAATAAGTACTACACTTTAGTGGTTTGTGACATCATATTTCTGATTTTTTTGAAGTATTCTGAACATCAAAATGTACTTTGCTTTCCAGTCCATCAACCAATTTTAATAATAAAATTATATTAATATATGGCCATATTTATCACCTATATTGATTTACTCTACTGATAAACAAAGAAAAATGTATGATTGCTTCACAGATTATTCTGCAAAAATGACAATAACACAGTCTCATAATGTTTGCTGGCATCCATGTGTCGCAAACTGTGTCTTTCGTTAGGATAAACCTGTTAACATTAACATTATGTTTATAATGTTATCAAAGGACATAGTTTTCAAAATCAAGCAATAAGAATAAAAGAGAAAAGAAGCAAAACCAACATACCTGTAATTGGTAAGGCTTTCCTGCTTTAACAAGTAAGTTAATTAGTTGACTGGTGTGAAGGAAATGGACATTTTCATCAATCAGACCATGAATAATGAGAAGTCGGTTTTCCCTACGGAGATAAACTAAAATTTAGAAAGGATTCAGAGCAAAATACCAAAATACAACAACAATTTATTTAGAGCTTACTCATCAGGGAATTGGTTCACGTAAGTTAAAACAGATCCTTTCTTGTAACCTTGCTGATTATATTCAGGGAGATCCATGTAACGTTCAGTATAACCAGTGTCATAAAGGGACCAGTTTGTCACAGGAGCTCCTGCAACAGAGACCTAACAAAAGAAATTGTTACCAAGAGAACTACAAACAGGTCACAATTCTAGCAACAGATCAAAAGTACCTTGAATATATGTGGGTAATGTGCAAGAGCCATGAGAGACAAATATCCACCATACGACCAGCCCATTATGCCTACTCTCTTCATGTCAATAAATTCTAAAGTGTCAGCAAGCCATTGTAGTACTTCAACTTGGTCTGCTAACTCAACTGTCCCCTGAAATCAAAAATTATAGAGTTATCATAGAGTTGGGAAAGATTTAAAGAGTTAATAGTCATTCCATGTGATTGTACCAACCATTTTACACCTTAAATGACCTTCAAACGCAAGTCCGCGATGACGAGACCCTCTTGAATCAATCGCTACAACACAATATCCCTGGGCTGCCAACATGTGCAATCGCAGTTGTCGCATACCCTAGAATTGTAACAAGTTATGAGGAGCAATCACGAGTGAACTGGACTGCTAGTACTTTCGTAAATAGCAACTAACCTTAAATGTATTTGATACAACTTGCACCTCAGGGCCTCCATATATATGTAGAACAGTGGGATACTTCCGACCAGGTTCAAAATTGTGAGGTTTAAATACCATTGCATATAAATTTGTTCCAGCATTGATTTGATGAGTATACAACTCCGGACAGTAAAATTCTCCTTCAGGCACTAGTTAACATAAACAAAAAATAGCAGTTGAACTATTTCTGTGCAAGATGTCCACAATAGGCCCCCATGGACTCCCATAACACAGTCCCACAGTTCTTTCCCATCCATGCGAGAGGTTTACTCACATTGTGGACTCAACCCACCTATCATTCCACTCTCTGATGAAAATTACATATTACACCTCCTACATGTAATAAGATTTACAAGGGGAAGGGAGGAGGGGGGGGGGG